CCGACGGTATATCGATCCGATATATTCGCGTCTTCCCTCTTATCGAAATATCATCCGAACGATTCACGTTCGAATCGGGCGTTCTCTGTATATTTATGAATATGTTTTCTCGTTTTAGTGGCATAAAGAAATTCCTACGGATTTATCGTCGCGAATCTAGGCTCGCGGGAAACGCGAGTAGTCGCTGGAGAAAAAAAAATTGGCACAAGCCAAGAAACTGTTCAAATGCCAGGTCGAACTGGATAATCCCGCCGTTTTTGAATATCTGCCAAATCTTTCGTCCAATGCACAAGCGCGCATTTAATTTATACAGATTAAAAAGAGATAGTCGCTCCCTCTCCGTTTGCCCCCAATAGTTTCCCCATTATTTTTCGTCCTAATAAGATATCGAAGGAGTACGAGCTTATATGTCACGGGTCTGTGGCTGGCTACTACTAATTTAAACTTCATCGGTTCGCGGAATCTCTCTGTTCGAAATGACACACGAAACTCCGTCTCAAGGTAGGAAACAAGACGAGGCAGGAACTCGATGACGTAATATTGACACTTTGTAACCTCGTTTTAGTTACGTTCAATCTCAGCAGAGAGATATGACCGAACAGGAATGGCGGAGGAAACAAGAGAGAGAGAGAGAGAGTGCACAACTATAGAGGCGGAAAACTCTTCCTTTTTCCAAGAATCTACGCGACGAAAAAATCGTCGTTGTGTCGAGCATTGTCAGTACTCATCGCGGAACAATCGCGATAATGAGAAAGCTACGCAGTCGAAGATTGTTTCGCTCTTCCGCTCCCTTTTTTTTTTCACCCTCTCAACTTCTTCACTCGAGCATCCATCTGCAACCCATCTTTCTCGCGTTGCTTTTGTCCTCGAAAACCGACAACTTTCATCACGAGCACGTCATTGGAAACTGCAAGAAACTAACTATTGCATTACCGCGGCGCGCATTTAATAACGATCGTAAAAGACGAAATGACTCCCGCGAGATTCTTTACTTCTAACGCGATATATATCTCTACGGGATTCAGGAATGCTCTATCAAATATTGCATACTTGATGATAAGAATTAAAAATGTCGCTCATAATTAAAGATTCGTGTGTAAAATTATACATTATGAATTTATTATTTGGTCAAATAGATATGTAACGTGAAAGTTCATGAATCTCAAAAAAAAATTTTTTTTTTCAACGAATAAACTTTGCTTTATAAAAACTTTAATAAATAATTGACATACATAATAATAAATAAAACACATTCTACAATTTCTGAATAAGTATGTATTGTGAGAAATACTTGCTTTGAGAAAGATAAATAACCAATTGTCTCGAATTTTATCAATCGCAAAATTATTTCGCGATCTCTAGTCGTTCGTGAAGAATAATCGCGTTCGGTGTCTCCTGATACATACTTGTCGCGATCATATTTCAAAAGTTAATGCGACAACATATCGAGCCATGTTCCCTTGAGTGTCGCCAAGCAAATGACAATGAGATGTACATTAACAACAATATATCGGAAAATCCAGAGCTCGCTTTTACGGTGCTGTTGTTTATGAAAATTGAAGTTTATCGTCCAAAGCGATTCACTCTCGCGATCCATAAAGATTTACTGCGACAATGATTATTTATTTTAAAATAAATATTTATGCCGAAATATAGTCACATTTGAAGTAGACAATCAAAACGACAGTAACGCGTTTTGAATATTTCGCCGATTTAAATGTAATTTGCCTGATCAAAGTTTTGCAATCATATATGAATTGCGCTGAATTGAAAGAAAAACCGTCGTTTATAAATAATTAATTTAAAATTCAAAGAAAATAAGTTATTTGCATTTTGTTACATAAAATAATGTTTAAATATTTCATACAAACGATGAATAATTATTATACAATATCCGATGTAAAAATTTGCGTGCTATTATTTACGTGTCTTGGTTTCGTTATCATTATTCGAACGGCGAGACTCGAGCAGCGAAGTCACAAACATGTCGAGCTCCGTCTATCGTCGCATTATCCTTTGGAACGTGATCGCGATAAGTATGGAATGATACTAAACGCGTTGTCATACGATTATTCAATGGCCACACCGATTATCAATCGGCGTGATTAATTCTCGTGACTAATTCGCGTAGGCGTGTCGAGACACGACAAAGAAATCGAGGTAATAGGCAACAGAAATTATAAATCAGCGTTTTATTTTACTTGTCTTTACGCGGGAAAAATATTTATTATTTATTAATAACGAAAGTAACGTCGCGATCAATGACGCGTGAATTTCGCGCGAATTGTAGCTTTGTAGCGGAGATAATTCGCCATTGTAATGTAATAAGAGTCATGTGTGCATTGGATATCATCGATAATGCAGTGGCAAAGTGTCATATATTCTGCTAATTAGTGCGCGATTGTAATTAACTATGTTTTCGCAAGCGAGTGTCGAGTGCTCAAAACAAAAAACCGCAAAGAATGAAGAGAAGAACAAGAGAGAAGAGATCGAAGGGGCAACGAACGATGATGGAGCCAACCATGAGGCAAGCAATTAATAATTTATTCAGTTTATTATTTGTGAAATTAATTACTCGGTATTCCTGCGGTAATGATCCATTTTACATCATTACGTAATATAATATATGTAAAATATATTCTAGGTTTTTTATTATAAAATATATGTATTGCTATAATTTATTATAAAATTTATTATAAAATATACATAAAGCATGAAATATTTATAATAAATCTCCAAATATTTATAGTACTAAATATTTATTTGTCATATAATATTTTTAATATTTTTATGTATAAATATGTATAACATACTTCAACATATTGTGTTTAGATTTATGATATATTGAAAATGATATTATCTGTATCATTTACATAACAATTAAATTCTTGTTTATTATATTGTATAAAGTTTATTTATTAAAAAAAAAAAGATCTGAATTTACAAACTTTCGTATTAAATAGCTACTTAAAAAACAAATAATAAATTTGAATAAGAGAATAATAATTATTGTTTAATGTATTAATTATTGTGAGTACTGCTTCATAATTTAAATATATTCATATTTTGTGCATGTATTTCAACTCTCTGCCGATCAGTGAGTTTAAAAGGTATTTTTATATTAATCTCGTGTAATGCATAAAGTTGATTTGTCGTTTCGTGTAACAATAAACTTGAACGTTCGATTCGACCGATTTTATCGGTAAAATACCAAAACGGCAATAATCGTCTCTCGACTTGGCATCGCCAAGATTCGGCCCGGGTTGGCGGCCTTGCACGCACATATAAATACCTAGGAAACAAAATTGCAGCGAGCTTTTCATTACTCTTTGTTTTATCTGAGCTTAACAAGGCCCGGTCTTTCGGCGTAAGATAAATGATAATTGAATAAATGCAAGAAGACGCGACGAGACTGACAATTCGCATGCGCAAAAATGTAAAAAAAAGAGAGAGAACCAAATTCACAAATTGAACGAACATCATATCGAATCACTTCCTATTGTTATTTGTTCGCATCGTGTCGATAAATATTTTATATAAAACAAAAAAAATCAATACAATTTTTCAAAAAAAACTTTATCTAATGGGTTATCTAAATCTAAATAAACGATCCTTTTATAGCTCGTTATCGATCTATGACGCTAAACTGAAATGCGAAGGTTTGACATATATGTCGCGTCAATTTTTCGATGAAAAATAATGACACATGTGTCAACAATGATTATCGTAATTTTAGTGTACATTTTCCCATCCCTTAGAGATCTTCAATATAGCTAGAGAGAGCTTAAATATAGCTTCGTTCCCTTTAAAAGAGACGATAAAAATTTCGAAATAGGAATATATAAAAAAATCATCGATTCACTATTCGAATCCCTAGAAATTCGACCTTTTCGAGGCGCCGAGAGTACGGAGCTCTCTCTCTCTCTCTCTCTAACCGCTTTAAGAAATACTTCTTATGCCACTTGACGTTCCGCCAGAAATATACACGCGCTGTCCGTCGTCACCGCACGCGCGCGGTTTTACATTGCAAATGCGGCGAATAAGCAGCGAGATGAAGCGCGATAGATCCGTCAGAATCCATAATGATCCGCTGTTATTCCTTTAATACCACGCGTTTGCACGATCGAAATACTTTTACTTTTGCGTTTTGCACAATTCAAAAAATCAAGCGCAAAATAAAGATGACAAAATTGATAAACAATAAGGTTGTTCCTCCATTCTCTTGCTCTATAAAAATCTTGAAATGTGTTTTGTCGATACACATCTTAGTTTAGATAGAAGGATAGGAGTCTTTGGATATGTTTTGGCGATGACAGCCATCAGTAGTAATAAGAGTGGTAGTAGTATAGTAGTAGTAGTAGTAATAATAGTAGTAGGGGATAGAAAATGGCGTTGTGCATGGTGGTACCGAGAAACGCAAAGGAGGAGGAAGGGCAAGAGGAAAGGATCCATGTCGGCGGATGGTACGGATTTAGACAACATCTGGTCCAGTCTGTTTCGCCGGTTCGGCGGGCAAAGCACCACCGATCGGATTCGAAATAACTATCATCTCGTCTTCGTGTGTCCCGCGATTCCGCCGGTCTGTGTGTATACGCGCGAACCAATCCAATAAGACACGTCCGTCCCAACGGAGGATACACTTCCTTAATCGGAAATACCGAATGCACCGAAAAGCTTGTCCTCGGCCGAACGAAGCGGCGAGAGAGAGAGAGAGAGAGAGAGAGAGAGAGATTTGACATTTCATTAAGCTCGTCTCTCTTGCACAATGTAAAAATTTATTTTTAGCTGTCAAATAAAAACTCGTGGCTTTTTATATAAATAAAAATGAGTTTTGTACATATATATATCTATAAAAATTTTTTTATACACGTGAAACGTGCGGCAAACGGCAATCAAACAATTACACAATTGCAAAATTCAATCTCCTTTCAAAGAGGTCCACATATATACATACATATATGCGCGCGCATTATAACGAGTGGCTTATATTATATACCTACATAGGGATGATAGAACGATGTTGGAACAACGTGGTGGCGACTCTCGGAGCGCCGAGATGCATCGGAGCAACTGGGATTGCACCCGGGTTACGATCTCTCTGTGTATGCGTTGTACACGTCGCATGCTTCTCCCTCGTGATTCTCAGTTATGCGGACCGATATCCGCGATCGTCATACGCATTCCTGGGAAATCACACGCCTTTCTGTTACCTTCCTAGTTTATCGCCCGTATTTCCGCTCTTCTATTTATTCGGCACATCAATCGGATCTTTGTGATCTAATAGATCGTTGCACGTACAAACTTCGTTATCCTATATCGATCGAACACGTGACTCGTTATCTTTCTCTCTCTCTCTCTCTTACTAGGGTGCATCAACAAAAACCGGAGGCAATTTAGCATGTCACAACGCGAAGCCTCGCCGAGATTTGCATAGTGTTCAGGTGTCAGACTGCAAAGTTGATTTTTGCGTTTATATTTAGTCCTTGCATAATTACATATTACATAGCGATACAGCAATTTCGCGTTAACCAATCAAAAGGCAAACATTATCGATAAAATTGCGCGTTTGAACCCTTAGATTTGTAATAATCTGTCGTGTACATAATTTTCGAAACAATGTCCGCTCGATTCTGGAATAACTCATGCAAAGTTAATTAATATAAATAATTAATGCACGAAATAAAATTATATAAAATTAATTAATATGAATAAAACCGCGTATTTTAGTATATTAATTATTGTATAATCGCTTGAAATAGAGAGATGTAAAATGTAAAATAGGGAGAAATATAATCTTTATTTGAAATCTCTGAAATATATATTATATTTGCACGAGCAAAGAGAGAGAGAGAGAGATAAATGTTCTTCCGTGTTTCATCTTCTCCTGATCTCTGCTCGATATTAGAGTTCTCATTAAAAATTGAAAAGGGTTAAACGTATACGTACAACGATCCGGTGTCGCGACTCGTGGCGTCGCGTCGCGTCGTGTCTGCCAGAACGTTTCGTGTGTCTGCCCCCACAGGTTATCGATTTCGGGCTCACGCACGTATACGAATCTTCCGTATATATATATCCCCCGGCTCGCGAGATTGGAAAAGGACGAAAGCGCGTTTTCTCGTCGAGAATTCAGCGTCTCGGGGCTGGATCATCGATATCGGATACCTCGAAGTTTCCGAATACTCGCGACTAACCGCCGGCGTGAGTAAGGTATCGCGGAAACGTTACATACATATATATGTACATATATACACACACGTATACACGAGGAAATCGCGATATACAATATCGAGATATCGCGGGAAAAACCCGTTCATAGGGATATAACGATTTTTATGTTGCGAGGGAGACCGAACGATCGCAAAAATGGAAATAAAACGAATTTTTCGAAGGGAGGAGAGGATCTATAAATGATGAGAGATGAATCTGTGACGTGCCTCTTTCTCCTTCTCTCTCTCTCTCTCTCTCTTTGTCCAGCGTTCTTATTTTTCGTCTTATCGTATCGCCCGCGCGATACGATGATAACGCGCGACGTCACGTCACACGAAACTACAAGCGCGCACGAGCGACACGATATTCGGCTCGCGACTGAGTTTGACATCATCGTCGTCGCCGAGGGTGTCCCACGGAAGAGGAGATAGAGAGAGAGAGAGAGAGAGAGAGAGTTCTACCCCCACCGGCATCGCGCTCAGGCGCCACATGGAGCCTGGCGCTGGAGTGAGAGAGCCCGGGGGTGGAGACCACCCTTTCGATAGAGAGTATGTATAAAGCCTCCCCCTATCCACCCACCCACCCCTCGTTACTCCGTCGAGAATGATATAACGTTACGTTGGCGCGCTTGCGCACTCGCGTGCGTACTCTCGCTTGTCTCGCACGTCCGCTCGCTCGCTCGCTCGCTTCGCTTTGCTACAAAGTGGCAACCGGTGGGTAACGGGCCGCAAAACGTCGCCGGGTATTTATGTAGACGATGCACATCGACGTCACGCTAATGGGCCCGGCCGCAAACCGATACAGTCGCGAAGCTCCCTTGTGTAGCTGCTGCTGAAGACGCCACAACTACTTAACCCTTTATTTGATAACGTTGCTCTCGGGTTTCTTATCTATACCTTGTCTACCGCCCGCTGCGAGCTGTCGCGCTCGAATTTTGATCCATGTTGCTGCCAAGTTACAAGCTATTACAAGCGTACGCCGCTAGACAGTCGGTTCTCTAGCTCGAAAAATAGCGCGTTTTTAGGTCGACTATACATCATATTCTTGTATGTATAATTAACAGGCGTGATAAATTGAAGTGGGAATTTTCAAGGATGTCAAAAAGCGTTGCCCTTTACTTATTAATCCCACACGGGGAGAGCATTTTCTCTTAGAATTTGCCCTCAAAATCATGGTAATCCAATATAGGGTTGGAAGAATTTTATAAATAATATATGTACGCGTAGTAAAATTAATCGAATATGTTTCATATGTCTTATTGTGGTATAGATATTAATATTTTTTATTAGAATTGTCCCAATTTTAAGAGAAAAACATATTTTTATTCGAAAGAGAAAATTTTCGAGGCAAACTTGAAGATCGGAATCTGAGCGAGGGATACGAGCAAAAAAAGAAAAAAAATGATTTCAGCACCTATTGGCGGACAGTCTGTATATCATAATATATCGAGCAAGTATGACGTTACCACATGGCGTGCGTATACCGTATTAATAAATCAATGCGCGAGCATCGATTTGCTGTCCCCGTCTAGCTGCCAACGACGTGCAACACGACGTCGGCAGCTTCACGCACAACAAACTCATTCGTTACTTGCTGAGAGAGAGGAATGCGACTTGGACTCGCGTAGAGACAGAGTGAAACAGATAAAACGGCCGCGAAGATAAGTGCGAGCGTTTCGACGCTGCCAAACACGTGGAACTTTAAGCAGTGAAACCGGGAGAAGAGGCCGACCGTTTGGCACAGCCTCGTCGCCGTCGACGTCATCGTGGCCGTATAAATAATGAGAAACGGGGATGAGAGAGGTGCATCAACGCTTTTTCGATTCCCCGCGTCACAAGAGCGTTACAAATGACGCCGTTTATTTTTCCGAGAATTGCGACACCTCTCTTGCGCATCACGATGATATTTTTCCCTTAACGGTTTGCATTCGCCGTTCTCTCTCTTTTTCTTCTTTTCGTACGACAGACAACGCAAAGCGAAACATTTACAAATTCCAAGAAAACGCAGCTGCAATTTCCCATGTCGAAAATTGTCGGGCCCTTTAGTACGATAATATCAGTTTTGAGTAACTAATTTAATGTATGGTATGAAAAAGGAAACCAAAAAGGATCCTGATAACACTTGATAAAGGTAGCAGTTATTAAAATAAATTATGATATTTTTAACTTATTATTTATCAAAACTCGACTAAGTTTTAAAATAAATATCACAATACATATATATATATATATTAATATATTATAGGGCCATCTTAGGGTAATATAAAGGATTTCATAAGGCAACACTCAAGGCCCTGATTACTTAACCTTTAAGGGCCCTCGAAAAGCGTGACCGATCTTAAAGGGTTCTTATTGGGCTTCCACGTTAGGACCCTAACAAAATTAGGAAAAATTAACAGAGGCCTTATCAAAGCCTTAACACGATTTCCACATGGGTTACAGCGGTCGGTGCGCGTTGAGTAAAATTGCAGCCAATCGTCGTCGAGAAATTTCATCCCTCCACTAGTCCCTTCCCTTCCCGCCGGGGAAATACGTCGTTTCTCTCGACGCAACGTCGACCATACACGCCAATAACATCCCTATACGTGCCATGTCCGTATTCCCGATTACGCCGTTATCGCGGATGCAGCATTTCGTCGTTGCAGCGCGATGTTGCGTCGAGGGCGGCTTCTCGCTGCCGTTATCGGTCTTCCACTCAATAAACCGCCGCTCGCTGTTGAACGCGTGTGCGTGCGATATTATATAGGCTCCGAGTCTCGCCAAGTGTTAAAAGGCTTATCTGTCGCCCGATGGATATACGCACTTAACGATCGCTAACAAAAAAAAAGCTCGCAAAAAACGCAATGTCGACGAACGGGGCACGATCGATGAGCGCGAATGACCCGCGGATACGCTACTTGCTAAAGGAAATTAATATTTAATTTTCTCTGGAAAATATAAGTGAAATTTATAGTAAAACTCCTCTCTCGGGAATCAGATATACGAGAACGAAATTCATGTTCTTTTCAGTTCTGAAACTGTATTTAGGAGTGCGACCTTGTTTCGTGGGTATCTTACTGCGTAAACTTTTCACATATAAGGCATGTAACAAATCTATACAAATAAATTTTGATAATTCTATTTCGAGTAAAAAAAGAGGTAATAAATTGAAAAAGCTTTGATATATAAATAGAAATTCTGATATAAAAGGAAATAAAAGCCAAGCACCAAATTATTTTTAAATATTTTCTCTATATATACTTATTTTATTGCAAATAAATATAGAGGAATTTAGAAATAATTTTACTGTGCACCTGTAATATTTAGCTTTTATTAATTCTTTTCATAACTGAATTTGTAAAAAAAAATAACAACAGTAAAAAAAATTTCAGTTAATAAAATTTAATTTTTAAAAATAAAAGTTTGTTTTACATGTATGATTGAATTTATACGTGTGAGAATTTTCAACTTTATCGCAAATACCTAAAAAAAAAGAGTTTCATTTCTACGTCATTAGATTCGACAATCAACATTTTCTTTTAGTATAGTACCAATCTGCTGTGCCGAAAGAGTTTCGTCGAAAGACGCTCGATACGCGACGTAATTTTCCTCTTCCTTTTTTTGCGAGAGATTTTCTAGACGATCTTCCAAGAGCGCAATAGTGCAATAAAGGTGAATACTCTCTCTGGCTTGACGACCGTGTGAAGTACCCTACGAGGCGTGTACATAAGTTGCCGCGTTGTTGCAACAGGTGCACTCAATTTGTAACCCTTCGCGCGACCTGCTTTTATATACATATAACTTCTATACGACGCTCGCCCTGTATAGGGAAAAAAAATATCGAAGCGCGCGTGTTATTTTTGAAAAATCGCGAAGATCAAATTTACGTCTCTTTTTTTCCCTCCCGGCAGAGACGTGACGGAAATCGCATCTCTCGCAGGAATCTCGCGTTTTTATTCCCCTCTATTCCGAAGAAGCTCGCCATTATAATAAAGCGAGCGCTTTCGATATCACATTTGTCGCTCCCATATTATATAAAGCGCATTCCGACCGACGGCGTTAAAATTCTCGCGAAGACGCAAGATGGGAAACGAGAGCGAAACGCGCGAGGGTTCGCGAGCGTAAAAGAGAGACAGAGAGAGAGAGAGGGAGAGACCACCTGAATACCGCATACATCACGCATATTCTTACATACGCAACGCGTGCCGGTAATTCCGTGATTCGGTGGTACAGGAACCCGCCCGCGTTCGGGTATTGTTGCCGCGTTAATTTACGAGCCAATTAATTAGCGCCGCCGCTGTGCTGAGATATTTCGTGGTCGTCGGAACGCGCGTTCTATACGCGTACGAACGGGGGAAGAGGGATGCTGTATTTTCGGATGAATCCGCCGTTCGTGTGATATATATTTTAACATTGTAGGATAATATCGACGTTTCGGCCAGTAACTCTTGGAAAGTTTCTCGGCTGAGAGAGGAATATCGGAAAGAGCCGCACTTAGGCGACGTCGAATCGGCTACATTAATATCGTTTATGTGTGAGTGCGCGCGTGTGTAGAGTTCACTTTGATTCATCAATTTTCTTCTTCATCTATATCATCGATGAGAGAATTACAATTTGGAAGAAAAACAGCGAGTGGGCAGACTCAAGTTTATTTAATCCAAGACACTTCTCGCCCCAATTATTCTTACACCGAATGAGAGCTAAAGTAATTTTCGCGCGCGGCGAAAAAAAGGTCGCGTAAAAGTTCTCCGGAAGAGAGGGCGAGGTGAGTGAAATTCTTTCGCGGAAAGAACGTCGAGGGTGCAAATGTCACTCGCGCTCGTTGCGGACATTATGGATGACACTGTCAGCGGCAGAGGGTCGACACGGTAGACAGGATAACGTGGCGTCAGTGTCCGAGGGTGCAGAGTGCAAGAGACAACGAATAATTCATCCCTTGCCCCACCCACCCACCTACCCTTCTTCGTCCTCTTCCTGCCCTCCGCTGTCTCGAAAAATGTGCTGCACATGCCGTCGCGGTGATGTAGCACGCATCACGGCGCGTGCATCACCGTATTAAAGTACAATCAGTCGCAGCGATTTTTTTCCACCAGACAATTTTAATCAACTGTCCTCATTTAAGATACTCTCTCTCTCTCTCTCTCGCGAGATTAGCCGACACATTTATAGATACGGTGACCATACTTTCTCAGAGAAAATAAAGGATAAATGTATAAAAGTTTTAGGATTTTGTTTCAATATGTTTTCAAATTAATTTGTGAACAAATTACAAATCGACGAGTAACAAAAAAAATTAATTCTGTGACTATCAGAAATCTACACGGAGAGAATTTTCTGTGAAAATTTATCTTGAAAATGGTAATCGCGAGACAATGTAGTATTGATACAA